GAAGTCACGGAGGTCCCGAAAAGTCATGGAATCCGTGACTTCTGTGATCTCCATGAAAGACTCTCAGCCTTACCCATGAATAATACAGAGAGGCACCAGTCAATTACCCCAGCCTTGCATGCCATAAATATACCATCTTACATGTTCAAGACTCCCTTTGACAGTGCAAGCTCATTAATTAGTTCACCACTCTGTCAAAGGAAAGTGGACCTGCACCAGACTTTGTAATCTGAGCTGAGATTCCCAAGCACTTCAACCAAAAACACGCTGTTTTAGGTAAAATATAAAACGGATTTATTCACTACAGAAAGACAGATTTTTTTGAGGTGATTACAAGTAGCCGGCATACAGATCAAAATTGGTTACATAAGAAATGAAAATAAAATTTAGACTGCGTTTCTATCTTTAAGAGACTAAGCAAGATTTAAATCAGTCTCTCACCCTACAGGCAGCTCACAGTTCTGAATACACAGGCTGGATTCCCTTCCCAGCCTGGGACCAATCTCCCCAGTTCAAAGTCTTTGTCTTCCAGACAGTCTTCCAGGTGTTGAGACGGGGGAGGAGAGAGGCCAGGTGGTGATGTCACTGTCCCTCTATTATACTTTCTTCCAGCTGCTAGAAAGATCCTTGCTGTGACGTGGGGGTTAGGCCGCCACCATTGTGTATGTGCTCTCTAAGGATTCTCTAAGAGAATGGATTCTTCTTGATGGGCCATCAATGCCAGTCTGGCCAGTGATAGTTGCTCCATTGTTGCCACTGACCAGGTAGCTGTGAGCGTTCCCCACTCACCACATATTTCAGTACCAAAAAATACAGCAATACTTCATAACTTCACATGCAGGGAGAGTACATACAATCCAACAGGATAGCAATGTTCAGCAGATCAAGACTTTTTAAATACCTCACAAGGCATATTTGGTACAAAACATATAATCATATCACAGTGGTGAATATATGGGTTCCAGGGTGCTATTTTGAGGTATAGAATGTCACAAATACTAAATTGCATTTTCTGGAGTATGTAAAAGCAGCATACATTAGCAATGTAAATGCTCAGATTCTTTTTTTAAGTAAAAAGTGCCTCTCTAAATCAACTTTTAATATTAGTGTTAAACTTATAAATTGCATTTTAAGAACCACACACCATCCTGTATTATCTGGATGCAATCTTCATCTGTGATTGGTGTATCTTGGATACCTTGGAAATTGCTTAACTACCTTTCATAGGTCATATTGTGCACATATTTGAAGGAAGGAGGTTGCCTAGGAGAAATGTTTGATATTTCTGAAAGAGAAATCTGATAGATTTTTGTTTTCCACCAGTCTCTGGGATCTGCTCTCTTTCATCATGTTCTCTAACATTTAAAAAAAATGTTACCATTCATTTTCCATAGCATTTCCATGATCACCTGGTAA